GAACAAGAACCGGACCGCTCCAAAAAGCGAGGATGTATACCTCCGATTGTTGGTGAAGGTATGATCTCTGTCATTCGATTAGTTCCCTATGTTACAATGTAACTTTCGCAATACTAAAATTTTTTTTTCAAAAATTGCGCTGAAAGCTTTATCGTTTCCTAGCCCGGAGAACGGATTCAAGATTCAACAAGGTCATTTTGAAACGTCTTTTTATGTCACGTGTTAATCGTCCCCCAATTTCCATCTCTCGCATTTTGCGCAATTTGGATAATCATCCCGGTAAGATCGTCGTGGTCGTTGGCACTGTCACGGACGACAATAGGGTGCTAGATGTTCCCAAGATTTCCGTTGCCGCGCTCCGCATTACAAAGGTAGCCAAGGCTAGAATTTTAAAGGCTGGTGGCGAGGTGCTTACTCTCGATCAGTTGGCCTTACGTGCTCCTACTGGTTCTAACACTGTCTTGCTAAGAGGTCCTAAAAATGCCCGGGAAGCTGTTAAGCACTTTGGCATGGGCCCTCACAAGCATGCTAAGTAAGTGGTCTTGCTTATACTCGGAAATTTCAAAGATTAGAGTATGAATTAAACTTTTTTTTTTTTTTTTTTTTTACTTTAAGACCATATGTTAGATCAAAGGGTAGAAAATTTGAAAAAGCTCGTGGTCGCCGAGCATCTCGTGGCTTTAAGGTGTGAGACAACATTACAAAGAATTTTATCACGAGATCGAGGAGTGTCATTCTTTTCCACATTGTTGTCAAGAGTACTGATTAAATTTAATACATGACTATAATTGAGTAAAAAAAAAAACTTTTTTTTTTGCCAAATCTCTTGTAACTATTTCAACATTGAATCACGTTTTCTTTGTTCTTTGAAATTTCGTTATGGATTTTGTCTTTATTGTAAACTATATGATCAGTATCTTGAAGAAAAGGTAATATGTGAAATGACGAGATCAATCCTTTTGAGCCACTTGAAACAATTTCTTTGTTATAACTCGTATGTTGGACAATCCGTCACCATAATAAAATATAATTGGTTTATACAATTTGTTCCAATTCCTGTGCATAATGAAGTACTTGTTGAATAATAGTATTGTGAGGTATTTCTACGTGATTATCATCTTTTGTTGTGAAATATATTTTTTTCTCTGCCGGTTTAACGTTCCATTCACGCTGATAATAAAGTGAAGTGAGTAAAGTAGAATGAGAAGTTAAACGAGAATTCGATTACTCACCTCACTAGCGAAAGTTAAAACCTCGTGAATATTATTAAAAAATAAAAGTGTAGCTGCATCGGCTAATGGCAAACTTGCGTACGCTTTCTCACTACAACTTGCAATTTCATTCCTTGGTTATGTAGATTTAAAGAATGTTAAAGGTTTCCTGCTGTGATCAACTTTTTAAGAAAACAATAGACATACCTGATCGTCCCCATCAAAATGTCAATGAAAAAGAGATAATCAGGAGCAGGCACTTGTTCTCTCGAATTCCAGACTTTATTGTAACTTCCTTCCATCAGATATTGCTCTAAATGAACTGGATGTTTGATGTAAGGATTCTCCAGAAGTTGCTCGGGCTCAATGTTTTCCAATGCCGTGTGAAATTCAGCAATACGATTTTGAGAAAGTAAACGAAGAAGATTTAACCCCATCAAAGGATACATTTGATGTGAGGATGGGAGTAATGAACTTTTATAGAATTAGCCGATTTAGTTAAACATCACCAAACTTTACTGATCAAATGTCGATACCAATAGGCATACCTATAATCAGTATAGTATGTATTCAGCTGTGCGATGTATCTTTCGAAGGATGGTATGTCCTTGACACGAACACTCCATAAGGCGCCAATTTCCAAGATGTCTCCTATTCGAATGATCCGATATTTTTCTCAATAATAATTCGGTTAATTTTTCTATCAAAAAAGTAACGTACGTGCAACGAGTAGTTCTTCCACATTATTAATTTCTCCTTCAGGCAGCAAAAGACCCATTTCTGACAAAGCGATCTAAGGGCGCAGTTAGTAATAAATGTTAACAAATTTAGAGAGCTAAGAATAAAGTTCAAAAGACAAGTGGGTGGAACCTTAAGTTTCGCTAAATAGACGCCGCACTTTGCCAAATCTGCATTCCCCGAACTAAATTCGGCCTTGAGAGTGTTATAAAGTTGCGAGGCTTGTTGTATTCCACCTGACATTTCGCTGAAATTCTCGAGTAAATTATTAACGATTTT